GTGGATAAAATTTTGAACAATTGTTGTAACATCGGGTTTGTCAAATGATTTTATTATTTAAAAACACAAATTAATTTTATTAATTAATAAAGGCAAAAGCAGTTGAATTTGCCGATATAAAATAAGTGCGATAAAATTCTATTTACATATTTCTTTCCTTGCGAAAGTTTTTGTCCGTTTTTATCACACCGCCATGCGGGTCGCATTGTGCGGGGTCAGGTTTTACAGTGGACCAGTTTCCAGTGCCGTGCAGAAGTGTATTTTTAGATCATTTTCGAACTGCTCTTTTTGATTTTTTCTTTACAAAATTGTATTTGTAAGGGTCCCTGTACATCCAGAATTTTTTTTTGGATAAGTTCTGAATCAGCCTGTATACAGAATATAGGTATTCAATGTCGCTTTCTAAAGTTTTCGTCGCATCGTTATGATAAATCGTTGTCCATTAGAGGATATTACCAAAATCTCCTCTTAAGGTGATAGCTGACAGTTCAAAGTTATTAAAAATGGAACGCTACACGAAAGAACAACGTGTATTCATTGTTGAGCAATATTTTAAAATAATGAAGGTTTCAGCAATAGTTCACAATTTTCGTACAAAATATAGTCGGAATAACGATTTAACTTTATCAAGTGTGAAGAAATTAATTGCAAAATTCAGGGACTCTGGATCAATTAGTAACTTTCAATAGTCTGGCCGTTCTCCAACAAGTAGTTCAGCACAAAATATCGAAGCAGTGAGAGTGTTGCTGAAAGTCCAGGAACATCAATTCGGCATCGTGATCAAGATTTGGACATTTCAAGAAGCTACCTATGGCGTATGCTCACGAAAGATTTATATCTTCATGCTTACAAAGTTCAGTTGACTCTAGAACTGAAATCTACTGACCACGCAGAGCGAAGAGTGTTCATTTCAAGGAGTCCAGATATGACAAGTTGCGACTTCTTTTTATGGGGATTTATAAAAAGCAACGTTTACGTTACTAATGTTGAACAGTCTTTAACAAACCGAATTCGTTTGTGTATTAATCAAAATGGAGGACACTTCGAGCAATTGATGTAAATCAGCGGTCTAAGTATTTTCCTCCTTGTGTGTTCCGAGTTTCAATTTGTTTCGTTTTGCGTTTTGTTTTAGTTGTTGTTAGTGGTTTACTTTTTTTTTGTCAAACCACTTTTTAAACATGTCAGTAAATATTGACACTGTCAATCCCAGGCCTTATAAAATGTGAGAGAAAAGTAGTTTTGCAAGACCTTCTTGACGCTGTTATATAGCTACTTTTTCGGACTTTAGAAAAGAACCTAATTTTTCTGGAAAGCTGAACAACTTTGTATCAGTCGAAAGGGCATTCAATTTTGCATTCACGCATGACAATTAATATGGGTTATTCCATTTGAAAAAAAGTTTTTCAACTCGTAAGATTATTAAATGTAGGTCTCAGTATTGCCGAGTCTGAATAACGTACACATTTTGCTCACAGATGACAAGATAGAGTAATTTATGCCAAACCGAACTGTGAAAACTGCACGTTTCTAACTCTTACGGTTTAGACGCTATCTAGCTTCATTTAGAGATCTGAAATCGTGATTTTTTTCAAAAACACTTGATTATCTCGAAAACGGTTAGTTCGAATCGAAAAAAAAAAATATGTTAAGAGTCAAAATTTACTACATTTCTAAACGGTTCTGTAAACTCTAAAGAATACTACAAAAAGAAGTATACTTGTCGAAATTCGGTAGCATGTACCATTTTCGAGAAAAATGAAGTTGCATAGAAAAAAATGGGGGACAATGTCAGTAACTACTATAGTATTTCGAGTTTCCACATTTATTTAATTCTGCAGATGTTTTGTTCTGTACGTCTCCGAGTCTGTTTCCTAATATTTTTCTGTTTTCATTATTTTTTTAAGCATTCATGTTCATCAACAATTCAGTCCATTCAACAATTGTTTATTTTAGTAATGGTAGTGTAGTAGTTTACAAAATCTAAAATAAGTAAATAACAGATAATTATTAATTACCATAATCTGTTCATTTTTTAAATGTTAGTTTACAACAAACTGAAACTTAAAATAAATTTTATTTTATTTTTTGGTAATAAAATGTTTTATAGTTTAACTGTTTCATACGCAAGAAATTAAAATTATAATCTTAAATGCAAATACTGTTGGTAGCTAAATGTCTTCAGCTCATTCAATGGCAAGGCCCTCTTTCAATTTAATATTTTGTTATTGTACTTGTGCCGTGAGCAAAAACAATGCAACTTCATTTTTCTCGAAAATGGTAGATGCTACCGAATTTCGACAAGTATACTTTTTTTGTAGTATCCTTTAGAGTTTACAGAACTGTTTAGAAATGTAATAAATTTTGACTTTTAATTTACTTTTTCTTCGTTTGTACCCCTTCAATTACCTGCATCGGCGACATTACATTTCAGAAAGAAACCGTTTGCACATTATTCTTAACGCACAGTTGATGTTTACTCATGTACAAATTTTAACATTTTTATCTTTAGTCGATTTAAAGATAATTAAGGAAAACAATTTGGAAAGTAACAACTTCAAGACACTGTATCTCGAAAACGTCGTCTAAGAAAAAAACTTTACATGAACTACCTCTATTATTTTTCCATGAGGAACTTGCACACAAGTTTTTTTTGAAACATGAACGGGACACCCTGTATAATAAAGAAACTAAAATAAAAATTATATTTCACTAATCAAAAGTCTTTTACTTTGCGAATATTAGTGGATAAGAAAAGTTCACTTTGAATTAAATTTTGAAAATTATTGCAAATGAGAAAGTATTGCTTTCGACAGCGAAATGAGTGAACCGAGCACATAACTAAGCATCATTGACTCGCTGCTATCGCATACTAAAGTGAAGAATTATACATTTATCGAGAAAACGATATTTTCTATCGTTTCAAAGAATATATATCTC